GTCAATCAGGAAATTAATAATATCGAGGAAAAGGTGCCACTACAAACGTTACCTTTACCTGCAAAGAAGCAAGAAGACACGATGAATGCTCCAGCCAAGTCAACGGCGCCGGAAGAAAATACGGTGACCGAGAACGAGCAACAGCACCAGACTCAATCACAGGCGGCTTTACTGGACCGTCAGATCTCCATGACTCCACCGTTACCACCGAAAAACGCACACGTGACACCGCCACCAACACCGCTTCGCGGCATAACGACGGTCGCACCGCTCCCAGTGCCGGATATACCGGCGCCACCACGTCCAGATTCCGTTTACACCGAGGAAGAGACGGCAAAGGCAGCAGCGACTATCGAGTCGGATCAAAGACTGACAGACAGCAGCGAGCGGAGCTTGAAAGTTCCTAAACGAAAGTATTCCAAGAAGGGTCTCGAGGAGGACGATCCGATGGGAAAATTCCTGTCCTTCCTTTGGTGGTTCTTCTTCATTCTGGCGCGCGTTTTCGCCATCGCTGTGGCCTATGAGTTCTATCCGTTGATCGTGGTGATAATGATATGCGTGCACTACATTATCATGTTGGCCTACCTGTTCTATTACTCTAAGTATTACGACATCATCACGCTTGTCGTCAACCTCTGGCTCGGCCTGGTTTATATATTCAGCTTGATCGAGTACCGAATCAAATTTAAATATGCCGACTGGTGTACGCTGCCGTACTATGTGTTCGTGATCGTGCAGAACGTGGCGTTCACATTCGCATGGTATATGAACGCCGACTGGAACGGATTCTGGTACACTTACATATTCTGGGCGATTCTTGGCAGCATGGTGCTCTGCGTCCTCTCGTCCGCGGTATATCACGTAATGTTCAAGCCAAAGAAACGTAGAGTTTACAGCAGCTGACGATCGTTGGAGGCATTATCCTTCAGATAAGTCTTCTGATTGTGAGAATCGTACTTCCGCTTTTAGTTCCGTAACAAGGAATGTAAATAAACTGTAGATACATATTCAACAGATTAATTGAAAGTTTCAGAAAAGACAAAAATCTAGGCATTGGCGGCTTTCTATATTTTATTTACACCTTATAGATGTTTTTTCGATTTTCGATAAAGCTTTAGACCTCTCGGTGTTCAGACATTTCGAAAATGTTTTATACAAAAGTATATTAAATTATATATCATTTATTAAACCTATATATAGCTATTGCTATATATTACAATTGACTGTCTTAGCTAATCATAGAATATAAGATGATTGGTATAGAAAAAGATTTTTAGACGTAATCATCATTAGATTGGTGCAAAAACTTCCTGTACTTGCCAAATAGACTTACTGTTAGACACGCTATTGCGTACAGAGAGTTCGAATTGATTTATTAACTTTCTATTAAGAGGCGAGAGGATTTATTTTTTTAATATTACAATCTTTTGAATAAAATTTATTATAATTTATTATAATTTTATTTTTTGTCTGAAAATATGACACTGTTTTAACGCCACTATACCCACAGAACAAAATATATAATAGATATCCAGTGGATATCCACTGTATTTATATGTTCATATCAGTGAATAATTAATAGATATTTAAGATATATAAAATATTATTTATATCTGTCGATAACTAGCGTGTGGATATCTACTGGATGTGATTGACATGTTATCCACATATTTATATCCATAAATAATCTGAGCAATACACACACACACACACACACACACACACACACACACACACACACACACACACACACACACACACACA